CGCGGCGCTCGGTGGGGCGCGCCGGACGCCGCCCGGGCAGATGGCACAGCCGGAGCCGCCGGTCCGTCGAGCCCGCCGGAGCAGCCCGCGGCCGGGCAGGCAACGCCGCGCCGCCTTCCCCAGGTAAGGCGACAGGAGGGCCGGGCGGGCGGAGGGGCTCCATCCTCACCGAAGAGACGCGGAACTCGTCTGGACGGGCATCGCGAGTCGGCGCGCAGCTCCCCTTGGGGGAGCCCGTCCCCGGCTGCCCCTTTTGCGGGGCCACTTGGCACCTCGACTCCGCGGAGCTGCCTTTCCTGCCGCCCGGGGGCCGCCGTCCTCTGCCCCGCTGGCGCCGCCGCGACCTTCCGCCTGCCCCACCCCGCACTGTGGTCGTCGGATCGCTGCCCTCGCCCGCTCCAGGAGCCACCCCGCTGCCTGGGTCCCCTGGCGGGCCATTGGGTGGCAGGCAGTGTTCCCTCTAAGCTGTGGAGCCTTGTGAGCAAAAATTCTACTTTGCGAGCGACAAAGTCTGCATCAAAACTGGCACCCCTGGCGCAGGGAGCAGCCCAGCGCTCACCGCCTGCCACCCAATGACCCGCCAGGGGACCCAGGCAGCGGGGTCGCTCCTGGAGCGGGCGAGGGCAGCGATCCGATTTGTTTTTTAGAAATCCCCCTTCTGGCCCCATGGGATTGGGTCCACATAGCCCTGCCCCAGTTGCGTTGGAGATCCCATCTTCAGCTGTGGCTCGGCCCTCCGTTATTCCTGCCGATGCCAAGGAAGGATCTCTCACTGTGATTTTATGTGAGGAAGGGCATCCGTTGCTCTCAGAGAACAGCCGAGTCGAGTAGTTTTTTTTTTGGGGGGGGGGAGACCTCATTTTAGTTGTAAACTTTCTAGGGGTGGCCTGTCCAGGTCCAGGTGAGCTCTTCGGTCATGAGGTCCAGTGAGTTGGGTGCCCAGTTCCCAGATGGGCCATCGTCAGGAGATGTGCAGTGAGGAAAAGGAGATCCATGAACTGGCCTCTCTCTCTCTTGTTAAAAGGACAAATAGATGCAGTCATAAACAGATCTGGATTGGGGATGCAGAGGGTGGGAATGACCCCCCCACCCCAACACATGGACTTTTCCCAGAGCTTCTGTGGAGGTGTTCTTTGACCTGTTGGTGCCTGTACATTGTCCCCAACAGTTAAAAACACACACACACACAAAAACCAACCCTTGCTGTTAATGTAGGGTTGACTGAGAACAGTTTTCTGTACTCAGAGAAAGGTGTCTCTGTGCTATGGCATTCATTCAGATCCCACCCCAATCAGCTGCTATTTACACTTTAAAAATATAAAACTAGCTGTGTGAAACGCAGGTCTCCTGGCATGATGCCTGGTTTGGCCCTTTTCAAAAAAGTTTTGACAAGAACAGTGTTAATTCCAGGTGGGCCAGGAGCTGCCTCCCAGCTCAGCTCCCTTTGAAAAGGGCTTTGTCCTACCTGTGCCTCACGCCCCTTTGTGCGCCATGTGAAGGAGGAAGTATTCTGAGCCTGCGGGCGGCAGAAGTGCAACTTGTACAGTTTGTCTTCCTGAAAGTTGCATCTTCCAAAAGCGCACTGCAGATCCGGGACGAGAGAAACCTGTTGGCTCCGTGGCCAGAGAGTGCAGAACCTTCTGGGCTCCCGGGTCAGCTAGGGGAAGTTGAGTAAGGCTTTCCCATTTAAGTGAGATGGACTGAAAAATACATGAAGCATTGCTTTTAATGTATTTTAATGACATTTTTAATGTCATTAATCCCCACTCCGACTGGCAAGCTACTCTCCAAATTGATGAATTGGCAAGATGTCCGGCCCTCCCTCCCTTCCTTTCATTAAGCCTGGAAGGCATTCGTAGGCAGAAAATTTAAAGCAACCAACAGATCCAATGTTATTAGTGTCTTCATTTCCCTCAGTATGAAACTGTCATCTTTTGCTGACCCCTATTAGAACTCTCTTGGTTCTTACAAATAACCAGAGAATACTCTTGAAAAGTGGACGATTGTCCAATTTTTGTATCTGACAAGTAGGATACGTTGAGAGAGAGGAAAACAAAGACTCTTAAGAAAACTCAGAATTCAGACTTAGAGTAGGAGATGCTCAGTTCATTCAGCAACAGCTTGGAGGGAATATGGAATCTATATGAACACTCAGTTATTGGTAGAGAAGCTGGTGGGGGAGAAGATTTTCAGCTCAAAATCTTCTCCCCCAGTGTTAGGACGACCCACAGGGACATAAATGACGTTGGCTGCATCTTGAGTCCCTGGCTTCCTTTTCTTGGAATTCTTCTACCTTTCGGTTAAGAGCCACTCATCCTTGCATTAGTCTCACAACTTTGCCTAGAACAGGATATTCCGAAATAAGCATTTTTGCACATCCGACATGACCTTTACTGTGATTCCGATTTCTGTCCCACTCTTCCTTTTGGAAAGTTTATGGCCGCCTCCCGTAATACTGACCTTCAATGAGGCTTAAGTTCATAAGCCAAAATCTGCAGCAAAAGACCGTGAGTGAAGGCAGCTGCCGGCAGACAATGCGGACCTGTGACTGTTCGCATCACAACAGCCCACAGAGGCTTGCAAAGCAAGAAAGACAGGGGTGCCTGGACTTAACTTTATCACTGCCACTTTTAACAGTATCCAGTCCAGCACCACGGACTGCTAGGGGGGGGGGCTTATTCAGGTGTGTTTGGGCTGCATAATACAGCTGCAGCGGGGCAGGATTTGGTCTTAATCCACCGGATTTAGGGCCAGTCAATGCACGGGTGAAATGAAGTGAATGCAACCCAAATTGCTTCTTCATGACTCCAGCCAAATCTCAGTAACGTTTGGAAGACTGGGGCTTACCCAGATCCTATTGCCTCCGATGCTGGCCAATTCCGTAGTGATGATGATTAAGCGGAAAGTAGCAGTTGCATTGTGGTATCTTCATCCTCCCGTCGGTTGTCAAAGCTGAGCTGAAGCGTGGGAGTAGTCAGCATGGACACGTGTCAGATTGTGCCGCTAAATGCTCAAGGGAATGTCACTCACAATGGAGCATTTTGTTGACCTGATGACAAGAAAATGCTACTAGCGGTATAAACTGCCAAGTAAGTGTCTGTTGTTCTAACAGACAGCAGAAGGACTGCTGCATTTTGGCTGTGGTCACCCCACTGTGGTCAGTTGTGAAGAAGCCATCCTGAGCCATTTGTCTGGCCCTCTGTCCAGATGACAGTCTTTGCACTAGAGTTATTCTTCGCTCACCAGGAGAAATAGCCTCCTAGGATCCTTGTGGCTTCTCTGTAAAGTATGCTGCATCAACCAAAGAAGGGCATAGAATTGGATGTGCTTACTGATGTACTAGTGCAATGTAAAAAAGCTATTGATGCAGAGATGCTGTGCTGGCGTTGGCAGCCACAAAGACCAGTGAAATGCTTAGAAAACAAATGGTAGGAAGGGAGCGTCGTCCCCCCCCCCCCCGGTGTATTTCTGCACTTGGCTTAGTTTGTGGATAGAATGGTTTTTTAAAAAAACAAAAAACAAAAACCCCATCACCACAGGATCTGGTCCTCACTTAAAGCAAAATTAGTTGAGAAAACCTACTAGGCCGTGTACTGGAGAGGCTGGGAGTGGTTCCCTGCAAATTACCATTTAAGGCCGGAAACTGACAAAGGGTCAGGCCAGGCTGAGTCACGCACCCGGTCAGGTGAGGCCTCAGGACAGAGAGGGTCCTCTGGACATTCTTTTCCCCTGGGTGCTGCAGTTGTCATACATTGCTTACTTTTCTGGCTACGTTACACAATTAGGATCACTTTTACCTTCTGGGGATTGTATCTTGCGGCTCTTACTCTGATCTTCCCTTCCCTCCCCACTCCTGGGGGCAGATCCTCAGGGACAAAGGCCATACAAGTTAGGGGCTGCAGGGAGGAGGGGAAATGGGCAGGGGGGGGGGAGACTCCAGGCTTGCCTCTTAACATGCAGTTCTGCTCTTACTCTTCCGTTGCTTTCAGAGAGGCCCAGGTTAAGGTTACCACCTCTGGGTTGGGAAATTCCTGGAGATTTGGGGGTAGAGCCTGTGGAGCACAGGGTGTGGGGAGGGAGGGACCTCCCTGAGATATAATGCAGTCCACCCTCGAGGTGTGATGAACACATGGAATTCACTGCCACAGGAGGTGGCGGCGGCCACAGGCATGGGCGGCTTCAAGAGGGAATTGGATAAGCATATGGAGCAGAGGTCCATCAGTGGCTATTAGCCACGAGGTTTGGATAGGGACTCTGGGGCAAGTGATGCTCTGCATTCTTGGTGCTTTGGGGGGTGGTCAACAGTGGGAGGGGCTTCTAATGTCCTGGCCCCACTGCTGGACTTCCTGAAAGCACTTGGTATTTCTGGCCACTGTGTGACACAGAGTGTTGGACTGGACGGGCCATTGGCCTGATCCAACATGGCTTCTCTTATGTTCTTATGAGGCAGACATTCACTCCGGGGGAACTGATTGCTGCAGTCTGGAGATGAGTTGGAATTCCAGGAGTCCTCCAGGCCCCTCCTGAAGGTTGGCAGCATTCGTCTACGTTCAGTGGCTGGCATTGCTAGTTAAGGAATCTCAGGTCCTGGAGCTGAAAAAGATTCCCAGCCTGATATTTTAAAGAGATGCTGCCAGATAAAACTGACTAGATGACCCAGTGGTTTTCATAAAAGACAGCTTTATGGCACACAGGATGGGCCAGGCTCTCATTCGACAGTCTGCGTGGAACCAAGAGCCAGCTGAAGGCTTCCGATGGCCCCATTGAAGGCTTATTTTGCCACTTGGTGCTCGGAAGTAGAGTGCTGCGCCTCACTGTGGTTTCTCCTTTCTGACTTCTAATGTTTCTACAATCCTGGTTCTTCTGAGCTCCGAAAGAGTATTCATTTGTCACTTCTCTTGTAATATTGAACTATTATCCTAAGCAAGCTTAGAAGAACGTTTGATTCAACAAGAAAAGCTTTTATCTCAGTCTCTTTAAGATTAAGATGTTAATGTTGCATTTAGCATTCATTTGCAGATAAGCCTGAATCTTTATGTAATATTTAAAAATTAAAAGAACAGTTATAAATTACACTCATTTTTGTTGGAGTCAAGGAGCAAGGCAGAAATACAGATGAGTCA